GCTCAGTAATCTGTCAAAAATTGACTCGATCCATATTTCTGACAGACGGAAGACGGACGCTGTCTGTCACGTTCCCATGGAGCCACCTGGAATTCTCGAGCTGACTAAATATGAGGCGAAACGGAGGAAGCAAACATGATGGAATGTGCTTAAAAATGAGGGATAACACTCGCAGGAAGGGCGACAGCGCAGACTTTCTGCAGCATGCCCAATGACGCTGTGGGCGAGCTGGTCCAGGTAGATCAACAAGTATACTGAACATTTATGTCTGTTATAACAAGAAAAGGCTGAAAAGCTTTGAGGTCACGCTGATGGGAATTGGATCAAATTAACACATCAATATTTTTTAAGATCTTCTTTTAAATGAAAGTTAATTAAACCTGTAAAATAGGGGTGTTAAATCAGGTCAGTCTACTAAATTAGTCATAAATAGTCAAAAATACAAAAAAAAAACCCAACAACAAACAGATAAAAAACCCAAACACAGTCTTACCCTTGAAGCTCTTTAACAGACATGGAAATCTTTAGATTGTGTCCCAGAACATGGAGGGCAGTCAGGATGTCGGCCCACTGGACCATTTCCCCCAGAGGTCCTCCCTTCAGAACCTTTGGGCTGAAAACGTCTCCTGATTCCTCTGTCAGGAACCCCACATGAATCAGGATCTGGAGAGGAGAGAAACACGTTATGATGAGAGGAATCTAAATAAAGGTGTGTGGAAAATAAGCACAAAAACCTCCAGAACATTTACCTGCATATATAATACATTCTGCTCTAATATAATGGGAAATTAAGCATTTATTAATCATCAAATGTTTGATTATATTGAACATCAAAACTTGCACAGCAGTATTAAAAATATATATGCTCAAATTGATAGGGCTGTTGTCACAAATGTTAATACTAGTCAGGATGAATGTTAACTTTTACTCTTAAAAGATGGCAGATGTTATAGACGTTGTCTTTCTTTCCATTTTCTAGCAAATTGGAAGGATTGAAAGAAACAAACAAAGAATAAACAAATCAATACATAGTTTTAAGAGTACCGGACAAAAACAAACTGATGAAGAAATGCAGATCCAGGAATACGGGGAGAAAAAGATGGATTTATGTTCTTTATGACATTTTTCTATATTCTATCTGAAGCTGTGAAATATAATGAAATTAAAAACTGTTCCACATTGCAAAGAAACCCTTTTTTTATTTTTATACCAAGAAAATGAAACAAAATCAAAATGTAAAGCCGATGCTCCAACATTAAAGGTGTTAAATGAGGCTGTATTTTCCTTTTAATTAAGCAATAATTTACCAAAGAGTTTCAAAACTAATTCATCATCAATCATGTACAGCGTCAACATTTCTCTGTAGATTAAAAAAACTCTTTTAGTTTCCTCTAAATCAAATGGTTTCCTCAAGGCTTTGAATGGTTACTAGTGCTAGAGATCATATCTCTCCTATCCTGGCTTCTCTTCATTGGCTTCCTGTTAAATCCAGAATAGAAATTAAAATCCTCCTTCTCACATATAAAGCCTTAAATGGCCAAGCTCCATCTGATATCAGTGGGTGTGCCATTATATGTCAACAGCAAAGACAAGCACTCCGCAGTGATAGGTTGTAATTTGGAAAGAGGCTTTTGCAGTTCCTTCTGCTTTCTTCACAAACAGGGACATCAGAACAAAAACAGGTATTTTTCTCCTCTTCCGGTCGGTGTCTCTTCGTGGCGGTGCTTTGACCTCTGGAACCTCTCAATCCTCGTCTGGTTTCTCCATCTAAAAGCTTTGTCTACATCAATCATCTATTCTTTTCCATCCACTGGTCAGACTCAGACTTCCATAGTCAAAGTGTCGTCTTCATTATGCAACTATTTCATAAAGCAGGGACTCTTTCAGGAGGAACGATATATCTCTGCCTCCGACAGTAATTAATCATTGATCCTTAACCTAATCACATTTATTAATGTCACAAACGTCTGCTGTGGGGCGCTGATGGGACCCGTGGGGGGAGCAGGTGGAGGGACTATGGTGTTGGGATGTCTTAATGATGATTGGGGGTTTTGTGGGGTTGCAGTACTCTAAGTGCCGAAGTACAAGGGTGTAAATTTGGATTTGGCCTGATGTATAGGTATGTGTAGGTATGTATATGTTCATTTACAGGTATGCATGTATATGTGTATATATATATATATATATATATATATATATAT